CTACCAGGCTCAAGAACAGCTGATCAGGGAGGTTCACAGAGAGCCTCACAACCTGAAATAACTGCAAAACAAAAATACTAGGGAGCAGAGTGCTCAGCATAACTCTCTAGGCGAGAGGAGCAGAAACCATGCTCAACCTAAATACACGTACCTGGGCTGAGAGGATGAGGAGACTCAGAGGATGCTCAAACAAGAGCCTAACAACTCAAAAAACTTGCTATTACACCAAGTCAGGAGCCACCTTCACCAATAATGTAGATATCAGAGGTTTTCGGCATTTGAACTACAATCAATATCTCACATTATACACAGTTCCTATTCTGTAAAATAAATAGAAACAAAAAGGAATTCTGAAAGAGAAAGCACTCCTCGTCAGATTCCTTCCATGCCCCACCTACAATCCCCGTGATCGATCTGACTAACTGCCTCGGCAGCCATGAGACCCAAAACGCGGGGGAGAGGTGCTCAATTCTCAAAGAGAATCAAGCATACAAGGCATTCTCAACGCGATCACATTTCGCAGCGTGACTATATCTCCTTCGAGAGTCAAAACACACTCTGTTCAAACACTAAGTTCCCTCAAGAATCAGGCAAGAACAGAAACTGCCGCGAATCCATCGCATTAAGCTTGTTCAACTCCCTCGAGAGGCGAACGCGCTCGTGAAAACGCTGACAAAAACTCGAGTACAGACCTCTGCTCTAGTAGTTCCGCGAATGCAAACAGTGAGCGCATCCTTCTCTCTCGTGAGTCAAACGCATGTGCTTCCGTACACAAGGCTTGAAGACAAAGAAGAGGATGACGTATTCCGCAGGTGCTCTTTTATACCTGCAGTCACTTTATTGTTTACATCATAGGCTGCCGCCTGCCAATGTCAAGTTCATTCTCGTTTTTTCATTCATGCTTCAGACACCGGTCACGCTGAAGCGCCCTCTAGAGGATGCAGCGTGGAGTTCCCTTTCGAAAGTAAACGTTATTTTTCACACACTTTAAGCTATTTTATTTTTCAGATGTAATAGGATTAGTCCAACGTATCGAATCGTTCGGTTTGTAATGCGTACCTGAAAGCCTCGTACCAAAAGGTTCAATATGAATATGTGTGTGTGTGTATATATATATATATATATATATATATATATATTCCCTCAGGCTTATTTGAAAAATACATGGTTTGTGTGTTGGAGCAGGGTTGGAACTAAACTCTGCAGAGCTTCGGCCCTCCAGGAACTGAGTTTGACACCCCATGGCTTAAAGGGATAAAAAGTAAATGTGGACACCTGAAGACACAATCAAGGGCAACCAATCAAAAATGAAAATACAAAATGACTACAAACTTGAAAAGGGAACTCAGGACTCAACATAAGAGGCCAAACACAAGACAGATTTGGGAACATGTGACAGTAGTTCTCAGCCATTATGACTCCAAGACCTGTTTTTGTCCTTGATAATATTTGAAGACCCAAGACTCCTAGTTCCTTTTCAGTCGGTCACTTTCGACGTCACGTCCCCCGCTCCCACGCAGCAGCAGCAGCCTTCCACCCGCCGGTCGTGGAGCCGGTCGCAGGCAGGACGGCCAGCCCGTCCAGGCCCCCGCCAAACGGCGGTAAGCGCAAGTGCAAGAGGCCCTGAGACAGGTGATATCAGTACAAGGTCCTGCCCTTCAGGCTGTCCCTGTTGCCTCACATCTTCACCAAAGTAGTGGAGGCAGCCCTTGTTCCTTTGAGAGAACGGGGGGTGCACATTCTCATACTTGCACATACTGGCTCATACTCGCACAGTCTCGCGATCAGTTGTGCGCACACAGGGACCTGGTGCTCAGACACCTCAGCCCGTTGGGTCTTCGGGTCAACTGGGAAAAGAGCAAACTCGTGCCAACGCAGATGATCTCTTTTCTCGGCATGGAGTTGGATTCGGCCAGTCAGACAGCACGCCTCACCCAGGAACGTGCTCAGTCAGTGCTGAACTGCCTCAAGACTTTATCAGGCAGGACGTCTGTCCCACTGAAATTCTTTCAGAGGCTCCTGGGGCATATGGCTGCAGCTGCGGCGGTAGTTCCGCTCGGTCTGCTCCATATGAGACTGCTTCAGCACTGGCTCCATGGCCGAGTCCCGAGGTGGGTGTGGCGATGCGGTACTCACTGGGTTCAGATTACACCGGCCTGCCGCAGAACCTTCAGCCCGTGGTCAGATCCCTCGTTTCTTCGTGCAGGAGTGCCCCTGAAACAGGTATCCAGGCATGCTGTGGTATTCACGGATGCCTCAGCCACCGGCTGGGGGGCCACGTACAACGGGCATGCAGTCTCAGGGGTTTGGACAGGTCCCCAACTGCATTGGCGTATCAGTTGCCTTGAGTTGCTAGGAGTATGCCTTGCACTGAGCTGCCTCAGACGGCGCCTTCGGTGCAGGGACGTTCTGGTCCGCACAGACAACACTGCGACCGTTGCGTATATAAACCGGCAAGGAGGTTTACGCTCCCGTCGCATGTCGCAACTCGCCTGCCATCTCCTCCTGTGGAGTCAGAAGCATCTGAGGTCCCTTCGTGCCATCCACATCCCGGGAGTGTTCAATCGGGCAGCCGACGAGCTGACTCGAGCAGCACTTCCAGGAGAGAGGAGACTCCACCCCAGGTGGTTCAGCTGATCTGGAGATGGTTCGGAGTTGCTCAGGTAGAACTTTTTGCATCTCCAGAAACCACCCACTGCCAGTGGTTCTACTCCCTAACCGAGCACAGACACTGTGCAAGTTCAGGGAGGACGAGGACAAGGTCTTGTTAGTGGCTCTATATTGGCCCAACAGGACCTGGTTCCCGGAACTCATGCTCCTCGTGACAGCCCCTCCCTGGCTGATTCCTCTGTGGAAGGATCTACTGACTCAGAGACTGGGCACACTTTGGCACCCGTGTCCAGACCTCTGGAAACTTCACATATGGTCCCTGGACGGGACGCAGAGAATCTAGGTGTCCTACCCCAAGAGGTAGTAGACACCATCACTTCGGCAAGAGCACCGTCTACGAGCGCTCATGCCTTGATGTGGAACCTGTTCATCAAGTGGTGTTCTTCTCACCGAGAGGACCCCATAGATGCCCGATCAGAGTCGTGCTGTCCTTTATGCAGCAAGGGTTGGAGCGAAGGCTGTCTCCCTCCACCCTTAAAGTCCATGTGGCTGCGATTGCTGCGTATCACGACCCCGTGGAAGGGAAGTCGGTAGGGAGGCATGATTTGGTCATCAGGTTCCTTAGGGGGGCGAGAAGGTTAAATCCTCCCCGCCCCCTTCTATACCCTCTTGGGACCTGACTCTAGTTGTCAGAGCACTACAGCAGGGCCCATCTGAGCCCTTGCAGTCAGTCGAGCTAAAGTTTCTTTCAATGAAAACTTGAATCGTGCCTAGAGTTTGGGCCAGCTGACTCCCAGGTAATCCTGAGGCCCCGGCCTGGCTACGTGCCCAAGGTTCCTACTACCCCCTTCAGGGATCAGGTAGTGAACCTGCAAGCGCTGCCCCCGGAGGAGGGCAGTCCCGTCCGAGCCTTGAGATGGTACGTAGACCGGACACAAAGCTTCAGGACCTCAGACCAGCTCTTCGTCTGTTACGGAGGCCGGCAGAAGGGGAATGCCGTCTCTAAGCAGAGGATGGCCCACTGGATAGTGGATGCCATCACCCTGGCTTATCAGGCACAGGGTGTGCCTTGCCCGCTCAGTTTGCGAGCTCACTCTACTAGAAGTGTTGCATCCTCCTGGGCGGTGGCTCGTGGAACCTCGCTGACAGATATTTGTAGAGCTGCGGGCTGGGTGACCCCCAACACATTCACTAGATTCTATAGCCTTTGTGGGGAGGGTATCCTCCTGTGTTCTCACCTCAAATGGGTAGAAGCACTGAGAGGCCCCGGTTTAGTGTCGGTTTGCTAAACCGCTCCAGAGAGTCCGTACGGTAGACCCTGTCGAGCTCCTCCATCCCCTCGCCAGCCCGACGTGGCGGAATGTCCGGCGCCAGGCCCTCACTCGATGAATCCATGAGAACCGGTAGAGGGCTGGGTTCCATATGTAGAGACCTAAGTGGATCCCATATGTGTAAAGTCCACAGTATAGCCTTGAGCCCGTGTTTCCCCGGCAGACTTCTGCCATTTCCAAGAGGGTTATAATCA